TGACAATTTCAACCAATTGAAGTTCATTCAAGGAAGTAGTCCACAGTGATCGTCTGGGCGGGATATAATGCGTTCCCGTATTTTTGCGAAGGTGGCGGTAGACCTTGCTTGGACGCTTGCAGGGCGATCTCGATTGGAAAAGGCGCCTAACGCCTGTTGAAAGACACCTTATCTTTTACTAGACATATTGAACCTAAAACAAACAACTGATTCGTCGTGCCACCGTCTTAAAGCACCCAAGCCCTCGATCGGAAATTGTGGGTGGTAGGATTCAAAGGTCAAAAGCTTTGTGGTAATTGGGTCACGGGCGAGCGAAAGGGCGATAGAAATCTCAGAAGACCTCTCAAATTTGAGCCATGCTGGTTACAAACATCACAGGAGCACATAACAAGAAACCCTGAACGTACAAATGGGAAAGAGGTGACGAAATGGCGTGAAGGCACACAAAGAAGCTAGACTGCATTGCGGTACAGCGAAGTAACTGAAATGGGTAGAGACCCACTTCCATACGCGGAGCTTGACTATCCTGCCCCTACAGTTCACAGCAGGCACTTTCAAGATCCGAAAATGTACTTAAAACTTCGAGATAGCGAAAAGAGCCGCCTTGTGCAGATAGGGGGTTCCACTCATTACATACTCGTGGGCTGTGTCTTTAAAGGCAAGTGGCAGAATAAATCCTCGAGAAGTATAGGTTTAATACGCCTGGAGGGATAGCGCTCCGCAGCCGTTGCGTGGCGCCTTTTCCAAGGAAGGTACCCTTTATAGCGCCCAATCAAACTGTAGCATGCCAACCCGGACACCCACCGCGCCCCCTCCCCTCCTCATAAATAACTAATCCCCATCCCCATAACTTTTCCCCATAAATGTTCGACCGATCGCTTCATTTGCCAAGCACAATATGAAGCGAAGGGATTGATATGAAGCGGCTGCGATGCTGCATGGATATATGAGTACATACGTGCAGCCGTATCTACCGTAGCGGTTATTGGCACGATGCCAACGGGAAAGGCTTTCAAAGTTGTGCAGAAGAAGAGTTTTCTTTGCAGGCTTTTCACCTTTCGCCTCGCTCTTTCGCTGCTCCACTATATAGCGCCCTCCCGGCCATTTAAGACAGGAGACCAAATTATTGTTCCTATGAAAGGCTGATGTTCCAAAGAATACTTTGTGACGCGTGTAAACTCGGGGCTGTGGACGCGCGAAGTGATCACGCCGAGTCCACAAGGCAGCGCGGGCTCACTCCCCCCCACCGGTCTGCAATCACCATACAAATACTAGAGAATACTTACAACTCAGAAAGGGAGAGCGACAAGTAAGGGTCCGTATTGCTGGAGGTCTAGAAAATCCTCTCTGTATCCATAAAGTGTTCATTACTAAGGGTGATTTTTTTTCATGCCCACAGACAGCTTCGTCTATTAATTCCAGCGATCACAGGGCTAAAAATAAAAGTAGGCATAATACACCTTACCAGTAGATTCGGTAGATACTGATGTTGGAATAGGTTGCGATGACTGAGTCGATAATGTGGACCGAGTAGTTAGTGGTGGTCTCGAGGGTGTTGTAGGTGGAGGACGCACTGGTGGTATCGACGGTATTGGAAGTGAAGGACGTACTGGTGGTCTCGACGGTGTTGTAAGTGGAGGACGTGTTGATGGTTTCCACGGTGTAACAGGAAAGGTCGGCGGTTTCCACGGTAGTGTAGCTGGAGTACGAACTGTTGGTACCCATGTGGGGAACGGGAACGGCTGTGGTTGTGGTTGTGGGGGTGGGAACCACGTTGCGGGTGGTCGAGTAGGGGGAGTTCTTGTCGCTGTTGTATGAGTAGGTAGCGGTGGTCGTGTTGGAGATGGACTGAGTTGATTTGAGACGTCTTGCTTGATGCATTTGATTTCGTCAGGGAGAACACTCTGAGAGGAACCGTCGAGTGCTCCCTAAAATCATGCATACTGCAGATAATTTTGCTTGAATTCAGTATGAGCGAATCAAAAAACTTACCAGGATTGCGGGTAAATATACTACTCCGCATGCAGGTGGAGAACAATGACACTCGAGTATCTCACCGACTTTCATTTTGTAAACTCCCAATTTGGCTGCGGTGGGAGGCACGAAACCTCCTAAAATTTTTGATGCTTCATGTGTGGTAAATATAGGGACCATCCGGCAGTCCAGATGCTGCGTATACTGTGGAAAATGCTTCAGCTGCCGCCAGTACGAACCCAATCGTTTACTAACTGCACTTATCAGAAACCGTTATTATGGTGGTTCTGGCAACTACAGTCCTCATCATTGCGGACCGGTGGGGCGTGTCAGTGCGGCTGCGTTTGGCGCGGTGCCAAAGTCGTTCTGCACCAGTTGTTGAAGCGGGCAAGTGACATTACTGTATTATATCCTTCGCATTACTCGTTCAACAGTGTGCACACTCATACTGGCTGACACGCCCCACCGGTCCGCAATGACGAGGACTGTAGGTGGGGCAAATAAACACAATAACTGGGAAACTTGTCTCACAATCCTGATGAAGTTCCCCTGAAAATATCCCCTCCTCAGCGACCACGTATGACCCTCCTGAGGGGTCCTTCTAAGGATGCGGCTACATCTGGACCCGCTGCCTTCCCATCCTTCATTCTACTGAACTCTCAGCAGACCTCATCCTCTGCCCAAGGGGTAGAAGGACCTGCCGTCCGTCAATCTGTGGGCAGGTTCGAATGGTTCCTTGAGTATGGCACCTTTGTAGCACTTCACAGTTTTTACGACCCTGACGTCTTGAATAGCGCGATGCGGCGTTTTAGCCATGCGGAAGGGGAAATGGTCCCTCTTCCGACCCCCCAGCTCCTCATACAGAGTGTCCATTTCCGTATCACTTGGCCTTGGCAACGGCTGCCTTGGCGAGTCGATTGCAGCTCTTGTAGGCAGAGATCAGGGCTTCTTGTCTTCTGCCCAGCGTTGTATGTTTCCTTTTTCTGCTCAGCGATCCCCTGGACTTCCTCGTTCCAGAGCCACGCTGCTAAATCTCCTCTGACCTCAGCTCGCATCCCTCCCGGGACTTTCCTTAGCACACTGCAGGATGACTTCTGCAGGCCTTTTGGATTGGCCCGTGTGGGTCTGTGAGCCCCTCCAGTAATCATCTCAAGGCTATCATATTCCACTTTGTGCATCTTTCGTTTCTTAAGGTCTCGAGACTTCCCGGCGAGCGATCCCATATCAAGGTTCCTAATTCGAACTTTGGCTAAAG